CAGTTTTCTTGTCACACGACCGATCCGCAGCAGGCGTACCACTTTGAGCGCGCTGAATAATGAACTGATTTTACTCTAGGGGGGGGGAGCGGGAGAGGCAGGAACAAAAAATGTTATTTTATGAAACTAATGGACAATATATTTTAAAATCTTAATATGAAGGCATTAAATGTACTCGGGGTATATCGGGAAAGCCGTGCGACAAAAATAGTGAAGAGACAAGTACCTTCGCAATTAGACTACACATGTAGATTCTAAAATAACTCCAGCTAATATATCCGTGAAAGGCCTGCCTACCAAACACCGCTATCTTACTGGAATTACAAGTAAGTAATAACTTAGGGGTTGCAGGAAACTACAGCCAACATAAACAGTTATATTGTAATTTTGAAAGCTAAAATATCCGTCAAAGAGTTGAGGTATGAAACACGCCTACCCAAAAGACAAATTATTTGAGGGGAAAACGATACCTCTACGTGACTTCTGGTTGAAATGCTGAACTGCAATACTGGGTTTGCTAACAATGCGTGTACTCGACGTTCCCTTTTTTCCTAGGTGTTGCTAACCTATTTTTGATCATTTCGTGCAAATTTCACCGGGAGGTATTTGGTATAGACAAAATACAAACTCCACGCTTAAGTCTGTACCATTCTTACTGTGCTGTCTAAAAAGCTTGGTCAGTCGTTTCACGGATCAACTGTGGCTGTATGACATAATTCTAGGGGGAGTCATTGAGCAAATGTCTCGTTCATGGGAACAAAAATATCGTAAAAAACAAAAATTTATGAAGTAGTCTATTCCGACATCTAGGCTGATTTGCATTATAAAGTTGCTTGAAACATTGCTGTACGTAAACTGTGAACTTGCGAAATTCACTCAAATAGCAAACCTTTATTCTATGACAACCGGGCCTTTACGCGAAATTCATTAAATAATAAGGGCTACTGATCTATTTTGGGGTATGTGTCGCATTTATTTAGCCCAAAGTAATAGAATAATTAATGGGTCATTTCAGACAGCTGTCAGACGATTTGAGATAATATCAAGAGTTTCATTTGGATGTTTTTTGCAAATACCAGTGAGCACACAGTCAGCCCAAAGTGTCACCTGATTTGTAAAACGAGAACGGTGCATGTTAGGGACGAAATGTAGCCTTTATTAACTAATCGGAAAGAACATAAGTTGACAAAATCCTTTGGTTCTTTTTTTATCTGCACTCATCACAAATATTGTATCATTTAGTGATATTAATAGTCTTATTGCCATGTTGACTGTTATCCGAATTAAGTTTAAATTTATGAAGACATCTTTTCCAAGGACAAGAAAATAAATGTCCATTTTAAACGGTTTGCATTATTTACATCTATTTATTAAATACGCACATTTTTTTTCTTTTAAATAGGTTCAAGTAGACGAAGTCGTTCTTTATTATTTTCATAACTCTTAGTTTTCATTTAGCAGCTGGTTGAGGAAAGGTATCTTGTGAAATTTCGATTGCATTTTTTGCGCATTACGGTCCTTACATGGTATACCTTGCTGGTTTCAAGGTTATCTAAGACTTAAGCTAAATGCATTGGAGTAAGTAATAACGGATCTTTATAAATAAACTCCTCATGACAATTCTTTACACTAGCACATTATCTTACCCACCCTGTAAAGTAAATGTAAATTGTCATTGACATTCGTCAATGCAGTACAAACAAAAAATGTCGTCTTACGGCAGAGTCCACTTTACCTTGAAAGGCAGTGTAATTTATAAAATGGAACAATCCTGTTTTTCTTTTTAATGAATATCAACGACCATTATGGCATTGTTCATCTTTTGTCATTGGCAGAGAGTATTGCTGACAAAGAAAAGAGAGACTGGAATGGACATTTCTCGCTTATTAGCCGTCATCAGCGAGTCATATCCAGACCGAAGTGGTGTCACACCTGAGTCTCAAACTCGCGACTTTTTGATCAGAGTCAAACGCCCTAAACATTGAGCCACGAGCTCGTTGTCTCGCCAGTTTAGGCCGATGAATACTGACACGCATTGATGACCGCTAACGGAATTCATTTGTCTCGCTCTGGCTTGGGCCTCTACAGAGTCCCTGACAGCTAAATCAGCTAGTAGTATAGGCAGATAGTATTGCCGACAGAGACAAGAGACACCGTAATGGCCATTTCTGGCTTATAAGCCTGCTAATATTTGTGGATGTAGTGCTATTACTGAACAGTAATATTGACAGAGATTAGGATAGCCTTATGATATTGACTTCCCCTAATGTAAATAATTGCACTTACACCTCCCCTGAAAGAAAACCAAAACACCTTTAACCAGCAAACCGTACGGCAACAGTAACTTATGTAGGCCCACTCATTAATCCCTACTCCCTGCATTTTTTCCTACGAAAGCGGTGGTCATAGGGTTCTATGGGTGGGGAATTAGAACACGCAATGGAATATACTTTAATAAAGTCTAAAGGCATTTTTATTTTACTGTATTTAGAAGTTTTGTTGATTTATATCTGTAGATT